TATCAATGGGCGAGTAGAAATAATTTAGTTTTCAAATACAATACATGTTTATCAGTAACTTTGGGTCAGTTGGTTAATGGGCATGTTTCTTTCAATGACTAGTAAACTGCAGATAATATCTACCTCTACTTTCCCAGAATTTCTGTAGAGAAAGTTAGGGGTGACAATCCAGGTGAAAAGGGAGGCTAGGAATTTTGTCTTGAAGTTGTGTCCATATAACAAGGAAGTGGCTTCCCCTGGAGTGCAAGTTGATTTGCTATGGCTTTTTTTTTTTTTAATGTTCATTTATTTTTGAGACAGAGAGAGAGCATGAACGGGGGAGGGTCAGAGAGAGAGGGAGACACAGAATCTGAAGCAGGCTCCAGGCTCTGAGCCATCAGCACAGAGCCCGACGCGGGGCTCGAACCCACGGACCATGAGATCATGACCTGAGCTGAAGTCGGACACTTAACCCACTGAGCCACCCAGGCACCCCAATTTGCTATGGCTTTGAAGGAGGCTGATGGGCACCACTGTGGAGTTACACTTAGCAGTACAGCTGTCAACTGTACAGCATGGCCAGTATTACATTAGGAGAAGAAAGAATGCCTGGCACACAGTAGATGCTTTGCCATTTAGTTCCCATTATCTCTGTACCCCCCATGTGTAGACAGGAGCAATATTCTTTTTGAAAGCTACAAAGAATGCAAGACTCCAGAAAGGATAACTTTTGTTTAGATAACTTGCCGTCTGACAAAGCTTAGATTATTGGCACAGATATTTCCACTACCACATAAGTGATCACCAGCCATAGAGTATGACATAAACAGTTTTGTAAGGAAGAATATTCAAAAGAACAGCTTGCACTGCTTTCTGATTTTGTATCTTTCACCATTTCTCCAAAGAAAATAAACACAAACTACTGATTAGCCTCTAGAGTCATATTCTTTACCATGTCTTCGTAGAAATAAAGCATTTGCTTGAATAGTCAAGAGACAGGCAAGGCAATGGGGGAGAGAAAAAGGCCTTAGAAATGATGGGATGACCAAACCAAATGATCAATTCATGAATATTCATGAGCTGCTTATAACGACAATGGTTTCCTAGTAATACTAAAAACATGTGTAAAACTTAAGAATTTGCAAAAAATATTCCTAACAGTTCATTTATATTTCCAATTTTCAATCACTCTTCTGCCATCATGCCCTCAGAATTCCCCAAACAGAACCATTATCTATTAGAATTGGCCTTAAAAGAAGTCAGCATCTACATTTAATTTTTCTAAAAATTAACTGCCTTCACATTTAATTCAACTATTAAGTAGGGAAAAAGGGTAAGTATGCATCATTCAACAAACACGACTGAGTGCCTGCAAGATGCCAGGTCCCGTACTAAGGTCAGGGAAAACAAAGCTACAATAATGGCCTTGCCCTGGTCATTCTCCATAAACAGATGAATGTCTACACCGCAGTTGCTGAAACAGCCCGAAGAGTGCTATGGAAGGAGAGAGTGGGAGGATGTGGAAGCCTGAGTCAGGGACCCTTTCACAAATAGATGTTTGGCTGGATCTTCACGCCATCCTTGTGATGGACTTTGTCAGGCAGGAGAGATGATTATAGAGTGGAGAAGAGAAAAGAACCATGTGTATAATGGAACTAAAATAAATGTGGTCACGATAGGTGGCGCTGCCTGTTTCCTAACCTGGGAAAATGTTACCATTTTTACCTGCTTATGACAGAGACTATTTTCATTGTGTGAAAAGTTGGGGAGGGGCTTGGGTTTTTGTCTCCCCTTCTCCTCAGGAACTAATATTTATTGAGTGTCAACACTATATGATTATATTTATAAACAATCTCACTCAAGAGATCAAATGCAAAACTACTTTGCAAGGTAACTAATGCTATCTCTATTTAACAGCTAAGGAAACAAGCTGAGAGTGGGTAAGAATTTCTCTAAGATCCGTGTGACCCTAAAGCCCATGCTTTCCCCCATGCTACCTCCAAAGAAAGATGTTCCATTTGAAACTGGAACTAGGGCCACGGTGGACAAAGCCTGAATCATAGTGAATCTTTTGAGTACTTACTGCATACCAGATACTGTTTGAAGAGACTTGCATGCATTAATGTATTAATCCTCACAATCTCCTTGAGGGGTAGGTATAGTTATTACTGCCATTTAACAGATAAGGAAACTGAGGCACAAAGAAGTCAGATAACTTGCCCTGAGTTGGTCAAAGAGATGGTAATTGGCAGAGCCAAGATTGAAGTGCAGACAGTCTGGCTCCCTGGTCCCTGTGCTTAAGGATTCCACATTCCACCTTTTCACTCAGACCAGAGCCTAACTCTAGACCACCAGCAAAGACCCTGCTGGGAAACATATCCCAGGCAGAAGGCACAAAGTGGTGAAGAGGTCTTATGTCCCGAAATAATAGTGAGAAAAAAGAACTTGGTGTGGCTTAAGAATCAAGTCTTGATTGATGAGGAGTTGGGAGGACAGTAGGAGGAGGGATATGAAGCAGGAAAGATAGGTCTTTCTCCTTAATACTATGCAGATGAAAGGTTGTTAATTTGCATTTTCTGGTTTTTTTAAAATAGGAAATTTCAAGGAAAGCATTTTCAATATTAAAGCAGACAAATGCATAATGACATTATATTACATGCATATATAGACCAATTACTTGCTTGCAAAGATGCTCAACCATTTTCTACTTGAGACTCTATGAATTGACCACTTTATTATATTGTATTTTGATTAAACATGAGACTTCTAATAATTATTTGAAAAGAAGTTGGTGCAACATACTTTAGGTTTTTGTAACCTCTTGTGGCATATTTATGCCACAATAAAATAATTCAGCTAAATGTAATATCTTTTAAAAACTTTGTTGTTTTTAAACTAATCAACTCCAAAATTTAAAAGAAGCAATTATCATTTGATCTAAATATATTCTCATCAACCACCAGATGGCATAAGGTGTGAGAGTTTTATTCTGACAGGGTCAACCACACACATGATAATTTCAACTATAACTTCAAAATAATGTATTTGGAAAAATGTTCTAGCACTCAAACAGCTCACAATTATTTCAGCCATATGTAGAAGTGGATGGATAAGTTGAAAATGACATAGTCCTACTTTTTCTAAATTTTGGGTTCTGTGGGACGCTGGCATTACATAATGAATCAATGATCAAACAAATAAAACAAAGCAGTTCTGTTACAGGAAATAAAAAAGGAAGTCATGTCAAAACAAAATTAACCTTATGTTCTAAATAGCTTTCTTTAACTCTAAATGAAACTTGAAACATGCCTTCATGAAAAAACCATGCTTGTATGCTTCAATTTCTGCTGTAAAAAAAACTTTTTCTATGGCCTATAATTTATTCTGAAGGTAGAAAAGTATCAAATGCAACAGCGTTTCTCCACTCTGGCTTGAAGGGAAGCTGTCACAGAAGTCAACTGAAAAAAAGAATATCCAGGTGAAAAACCCAATCTGAACTATGATGTTAAAAAGGAAAATATATATGTTTTAAGAACCTCAATTTCTTTAAAAAATTTTTTTAAATGTTTATTTTTGAGAGAGAGAGAGAGAGAGACAGAGAGAGAGAGATTGAGAAATAAGGACAGAGAGAGGGAGACACAGAGTTCGAAGCAGGCTCCAGTCTCTGAGCTGTCAGCACAGACCCTGAAGCAAGGCTTGAAATCATGAACCACAAGATCATGACCTGAGCTGAAGTTGGACTCTTAACTGACTGAACCACCTAGGCGCACCTAAGAACTTCAATTTCTACCGAAATTCAAAACACTTTACATTATTTTTATTAATCCTGTATATCCTTCTAGAAATAAACAATCACATTGATAATAAGCCAAAACTGAGGTAAATGAGGTAAATGCAAAAAATACAAAACAAAACTCCCCTAGTGTTTAACTCCCTTAGTGTTGTGTAGTCCTTTGAAATAAGCACACCAGAATAAATAACTATGATAGCCTAGTCAAACCACAGAGCTCAGATGCAATCTTTTTCCAGCATGATGAAAAGGCAAAACTGCCTTTAGGAGTCAAGAGACCAAAGATGAGATTAAGATCTCTTCTCTAATGTGGTCTAATAGTCAATGATTTCTGAAGATACTATAATAATTTTATATTTTATAGATGCTTCCCCATTAGATGAAATATATTTGGTTCTTGAATGAAAAGTCCATGGATGATGAAAAGATATTTGGAACTATGAGAAGGATGAAAAGCTAACTGGTGACACAGAAACAGGATGTACTTTTTGTTTTTTTGGTTTTTTTTTTCTGATTTCTAAGTCATATGATAATGAGGATAATGGGAATTGGAGTAAGAGAAGTAATGCGGAGGGTGTTGTGAGAGTCCTTCACTGTGGCACATGTCCAACTTTATTTTTGGCCGTCAATAGGTGAACATTAATAAAGGGAACCCTCATTAAAGTGAAGTTGGGGGGCCAGAAGGTGGAGCCCTACTACCCAATTTCAATTACAGGAAGAACTGTCCATTATAGACCCCAACAGAAGAATCATCAGCAGGAAAGAATCATCAATTACAGATACCAACAGGGAAAGATGTACATTGCCTCTCCTATAAGAAACTGACTGCACCAGCAACTTAGCCAATGAGAAACTGTCATCATCCTGAACACGTGCTTTCAAAACAACTCCTCTCAACTTATTCCTTCTCTATAAAATGATGTTCCTCTCCCTTTGTTTGTTGGACTAGCCCTGTGGTTTTGACCTGGATTTCAAGTCCTAGATTGCAATTCTCTGCTATTCCCGAATAAACCCATTTTTGCTGGTCAAATAAATTTTAAAGGTTAACAGTAGCAAAGATATTTCCCACCTAGGTTCATAGGAAAGGGAAAAAGATGCTTCTTATTCTCGTTCTTATGTTTAGAAAAGGGCATCCGTTGTTACTTCCAAAGACTTCTTTTGATGGTTCAGCTAGACAGTAGAAAGTAGAATGATAGATGTTTTGAGTTAAGAAGATAATCAAATTACTTACTTTAGATTACATTCTCTAGGATGTTTTAATTCAAGTTTCTTCCATTTATGATACTCTCCAATAAAATGTGGATCTTCAGGCACTGAAATTAGAGTTTTGAAAAAGGTTCAACGTTTAAAATAATTCACTTTTCATTAAGTTGATATGCTGCAATGATGTACACTATATAGTTCAAGCCAAATTACAATGCTCACTTTCCATATTTCTTCCTTTTACTTGAACTTTGTATTATTGGATATTTGAAATAAGTAGATTTTTCTTCAAAATTTCCATTATAATGACATTTGTTTATATATCTTTTATAGTAATGAAGAAGGTGTTAAAATAACTCATATAGAAACTACAGACACCACAGTTTAACAAAATTCAAACTCAGCACCAGAAGTAAAAATATAAAAGTGACATTATAGGTCTTGATCTTTCACAAAGCAAGAATCTACAATGGATGATCATCCATTCCAGCCTCTGAATGAATCCCTTGCCAACGACAGAAAACTCTCCTCTCTGTTGTTGGGAAACTGCCTTTTCCATTGTCAGACAGTAAGGTCACAATGTCTTTCCTTAACCTGAGTGCTGAGTCTTTACTGGTCCTAGTTCAGATCTCTGCAGTAATACTGACCAGGTTCATCCCTTCCCCATGTGAGAGAGTCCTTCTAAAATTTGAAGATACCTATCAGAGCCTCAGTTCCCTCAACTTTATCTTAAGATATGGTTTTCTAGGGACCTAATCATCCTCACCATCCTGGTGGTGAACTTTGCTAACATTCCTATTAAAGTTTACATCCAGAACTGGCTCTGGATCTTGATTTCTTTTGAATAGCAAAGATTTAAAAGTGGGTTACTACCTCTATTGATCTGTGTGCTATTCTATCACTTCAGCTCAGATCCGCATTAATATTTTCTGAAAATCAAAGTACACAATTGCTTCATATGTTTGTGGTTAATTATAAGCCTTATGCCTTCAATAAAATTAACAAAAAATTTACTGAAAGTCAGATCATACACACAAACATATCTATCTATCTATCTATCTATCTGCCTATCATCTCCCTGTTTCTTGTAATTGTCCTGGGTTTATAGTCTTGAACTATTTAACCAACTAGATGCTCTCCTCCAGTCTTATCTGGAGCTTCCTTCGAAACAATGATTGATTAACTGTTGCTAGTTTGGTGAATTATATCATTGATAGAAACATTTAAATTGAATAGCTCTCATTTTCTTCTATTAATATTATTTTAGCCAGCAGTGTTCCTGTCTATTCTTTGATTTCTTTTCCTCCTTCAAACACACACAAGTACACATACATACATGCTCTTTTTTCTAATTTTTTAAACGTTTATTTATTTTTGAGACAGAGAGAGACAAAGCATGAACGGGGGAGGGTCAGAGAGAGAGGGAGACACAGAATCTGAAACAGGCTCTAGGCTCTGAGCAGTCAGCACAGAGCCCGACACGGGGCTCGAACTCACGGACTGCGAGATCGTGACCTGAGCCGAAGTCGGACGCTTAACCGACTGAGCCACCCCGGCGCCCCGCATACATACATGCTCTTATAGGCTTTAAACTTCATACTCCTACTTCTACTATTTGGATTTATACTTCTCCCTTCCTTTATATTAAGGAAGCAAATATGAGCTCCTTAAGGTTCTTAGTGAGGTCTCACTATTTCCTTTAGATGATTATAATAACTACTATTAACAGAGTTAATAGTACTTACTGCACATTGGGCATCTGTAAAGAAGGTACGTAGTGGTTACCATTGCAATATACACTTTACAGATGAACAAACAGAAAATTTGAGTAATGTCTTCTCATTGGGACTATTCACTACCACTTCGATGAAATTTAAATTTGAGGATTCTATTCAAGGATAATTCATGTTGCCTTATTTTTTTTGAAATTGCCCTTCCTACATTTTCTATTTGAATATGTACATCAGTCTCTTCCTTATATATTATGAAACCCCAAATGGCATGGCCATCCTTCCTGGAATATTTCCATTAATTTTATATCACTGACTCATTTTCTTCATTGCTTTCTCTACTGAGAGCTGAAAATTGCCACAGTATTTGTACAGACTTTTAATGCTTCCTATTTTATCCCCATAATTTTCTCATTCACCTGTTCTTGTACCATCTGATCATAAACTTCTCAAAAAGCTTATCATAATATGTATGTATCTAGACATAGAAGATGCTAAATGAGTGATATTGATAGGAGGGAAATAATTAAGGGGCAGGGGGATGTGAGAGCGAGCAGGAGGAAAGGACCAGTGAAATTTCGCCAGTTCTTGAAGCTAAAATTCCCCATTATGACCATATCTTGTCTTTGTGGCAGTTCTGTAGTCTCTGGTAGAAAATCATCTATTGACTCCATGATAAACTTCTTTCTTCCCTTCCTTCTAGGATAACTGGACGTCACCTTTACTTTGTTTTTGCCACGACACATTTCTTATGCAACATCTGTATAGGTTGATCTACATTTTTTTCCACTGCTGGGACTGTCACATCCAAAGAAATGTAGTAGCATCAATTTGCCTTAGCATGCTTTGGTTTCACATGTATTATCTCATACTACCATAGAACAACTTAAAATAGATTGGAATGTTTCTTTCAATGAATAGAAATTTAAAAATGAGGTACAAAGATTTAAGTGACTAACCTAAATTCACTTAACTGTAAGTGGCAGAACTAGTACAGGGCAACTTCCAACATCATACTCTTCCCACCGCAGCCTTTCCAACCTTAGTTGCACATTGTAATCACCTGGGGAGCTTTAAAAACTACTACTGCCAGGTCCTGCTCCCGGAGATCCTGATGTAATTAGTCTGGGGGTGTGCCTTTTACATGGAAATTTTTACAAGTTCCTCTGGTGGTTCTAATGAGTAGTCAAGACTGAGAAGCACTGCATTAGAATTAGATAATGCTGCCTCTTGCATCTAAATGCATTCTGGAGACACTTGCCCTGATTGCTGGCTCAAAGACTCAAAGAATGGAAGTCTTCTAGGGTGAAAGCAAACATCCCCATGATGCTTCAGGGTGTCTGGTCTGTCTGATGACAGCAAACAAACACCAGGAAGCCTCTACTCAGTATTACAGGGTACACTGGTCTGAAGGGATTTTTTTCCTTTAACATAAACATTTCCTTATGGGAATCATATTCTGTCATTAAAGGTGCTGTTACCCACAACCATATGTATTCGTTTGTTCTCTGCCAAACTTTTATTTGCCATTCTATACTGATGGATAGAGAACAGAGGATCATCAGTGCATTTCCCCATATGATTGCCTATGATTATAAACTAATAATCATAATTATTGAAAAATGTACTGCATATACTGCAGAGTTTGAATTTACATCTCAGGCTATAGAGAGATAGCATTTTTATATAATATTATGGAGGCAGTTTTAGTATGTGAAAAAGAGCAATAAATGTAGAGTCAGAGGAATTGGTTCAAGTCAAGAGTCAGAACCTACTTGTACTAATAATAAGCACACTTACTGAGCACTCACTATGTGCTAGGCACTGTTGTAAGTACTTCAGTGCTATGAGGTACGTGCTATAATTATTCTCATTTTACAGACGAGGGAACTGACAGAGAGGATAAGAAACTTACCCAAGGTCACACAGCTACTAAATGGAAGAACCAGGATTAAGTATCAGCAATTTGGTTCCAGAATTTACACTCTTTATCAATGTATAATATTCCCTCTTACCTGTGTGACCTTAGGTAAATTTCTTAGCTGCTCTTGGTCTTGGTTTTTTCATCTGTAAAACAGAGTGATGACAGTAATAATGCCTGGTTCATAGTGTTGACATACTACTATACATGACATATACTGGTTGACAAATGAATAAAAGAATAAGATTGGGATGATCAAAAAATAATGGAGAGTATACTTTGTATACTGTATTGTGCATGTATACACTTACCATTATTTTGGCACACATAACTATGGGTAGATTTGTTGCACAAAGATATGGAAAAGAGTTAATACCCCAAATCAAAATACAACCACTCATCAATATTCATAAAAAAGCTTTCAAAAATATGCACAAGAATTTCATAATCTTTCCAGTGATAAGGATGTAACTGTAGAAGCTGAAGTTATTAGAAGTTTCCCTTTGATTTCTGAGTGCTTGAAGAAGCATTCTATATGAAAGCTTAATCTTTATTACACACAAAATCAGGCCGTTAAAAAAGAGTATTGGATCTCATTTAGCTGAATTATCCAAAGACAAAATGGCCAGCAGCATATGTAAGGTTTAAATTTAAATTCAATAAAAAAAAATGTTTATTTATTTTGAGAGAGAGTGTGTAAGCATGCAAGCAGGGGGAGGGGAAAACAGAGAGGGAGAGAGACTATCCCAAGCAGGCTCTGCACTGTAAGTACAGAGCTTGATACTTACACCGGGCTCGATCTTACCAATCATGAGATCATGACCTGAGCCAAAATCAAGAGTTGGATGCTTGACCGACTGAGCCACCCAGGCACCCCTAAGTTTAATTTGTAAAAATAAAATGCTTATTATTACTGAAGGAAACCTCCTGAAACATTCTTATAACAAATCCCTAGAAGAAGAATAGGTAGGGTGATTGTGAAATCTTGTTCCAAAGGTTAGAATCAAAGTCTCTGAAATTCTTCTGAGCTAGAGGTAGCCACTAAAGCTCACAAAAAGGGTTGAATTACATACTAAGTTAGTGATAGATGTAGAAAGGAGAACCAAGTTAAACATTTTGGTGGCAAGTCTTTTAAAGAAGAAACTGTAGTCAGTGGTGCTTAATTAATTTCTTTCATTTTTAGTTGTTTATTGCAACACAATTATTTCCAAATTTCTTTAAGTTCTGGCATGTGCCACTATTAGTAGTAGTAGTAGTAGTAGGCTTCATGCCCAGTGAAGAACCCAAGGTGGGGCTCAAACCCACAATCATGTGAGATCATGACCTGAGCCAAGATCAAGAGTCAGACACTCAACCGACTGAGCCACCCAGGTGCCCCTATTTTTTTTTTTTCTTAGCAGTTTGGAGTTTCCAAATGTTTCTGTATATTTACATGTTATTCCAAAAAGCACCATTCTTCTTCTTCTTCTTCTTCTTCTTCTTCTCCTCCTCCTCCTCCTCCTCTTTTTTTTTTTTTTTTTAGAGAAAAAGAGAGCATGTGAGTGGGGGAAAGGGGCAGAGAGAAAGAGAATCTTAAGCAGGTTCCACACTCAGTGAAGAACCTGGGATCATTACCTGAGCTGAAACCAGGAGTCAGTTGCTCAGCAAACTGGGCCACCCAGGTGCCTCTTCCATAAAGCACCATTCTAAATCAGTTCGTTTGTTTTATGGTTGAAGGAGTTGGATGTTCAGTTGTTCCCTAGAATGTGCCAATTGCCTCTCTACCCCTTGTTTGTTAAGGGTTCCTGCCTCCTGGAACCTATCTGAGTTCCTCGGTGCCTCCACATAGGAGGTACTCAAGATGTGTTTGCCGAGTTGACTAAGCAGGACCCAAACACATATCTTTGAAATGAAGTAAATATTCATGTACTCTGGTATCAAAAGTAATAAAATTCTTTATAGTGCTAGAGTTGCTAAAGATTGTGTTTCTTAAAGCACCTTTAATCATTTTTCTTAACCACAAATATAGGATAAGTGAGGAAGGTAATATGTGATCACAAAATAATAACTAACATCGTGAAAGAACATGTAATTTCTTAGAAGTTATTGATCTAATTATCTTTTTAATATTTGTTAAGCTTAGTATTGTTTTGTTCTCTAATTTGTGTCTTAAAACTATACACTTTTTTTTTTTTGGTGATATTTTGTTCTATTGAAACCAAATATGAGCCTATCACAATGGTGAGATGCAAGTCGATGAGACCACAATTAAGGCAGTGGTCATCAGGATGGAGTGGAAAGGGAAACATTTTTTTTTCTTTAGAGCAGGGGAAGAGGGTAGAGGGAGAGAGAGAGAGAGTATCTTAAGCAGGAGACCTACATGGGGTTTGATCCCACAATCCTGGGATCATGACCCAAGCGGAAATCAACAGTCGGTCATTCAACCGACTGAGCCACCCAGGTGCCCTGAAGGAGGAACTTTCTTAATGTTGTAGGAGATAAAGTAAACAAGGCTTAATCTGGGAGACAGAGAGTTCTAGGAAATGTCTTTGATTCTGGTTTAGGCAAATAAATGCAATAATGGTGATCTACCCCTAACCCAGAGAGCTAATAAAGGAGGGAGGCTAAGTTTTGGGGCAAGATAATGAATTCACTTTGGGATATCTTAAGTAGGAGATGCCTATAACACATGTAGGTGGGATAGTCCAATGCACAGTTATAAATATGCATGCAGAATTCAGAAGAGGCGTTGGCTAGAAATGAGGCTTTGAGAATTATTGGCAGGTAGGCTAATGAAAATCATGGTGATAGCTGAGGTCTCTCAAAGAGAGTGGGCAGAGAGAACTGAATGAAGAAGATTTTGCTAGAGGTGCCTGGGTGGCTCAGTCAGTTGAGTGTCTGACTCTTAACTTCCCATTGGGTCATGATCCCATGGTCGTGAGATCATACCCGCATTGGGCCCCATGTCGGGCTCCAAGCTGAGTGTAAAGCCTGCTTGGGATTCTCTTTCTCTTTTGTTCCCTCTCTGCCCCTCCCCCACTCGCACATGCTTTGTCTCTCTCTCTCTCTCTGTCTCTCTCTCTCTCTCTCTAATAAAAAAAAGTTTTTGCTAAAGAAAGAGGCAGGGGAGCACTGAGGAGGGGAGGAGACAAACCATGGATGCTGGTGTCATCTAACTCATAGCAAATGAGAGTACAAGTAAAGATAAAGACTAAAAGGTTGGGGCGCCTGGCTGGCTCGGTTGTTGCGACTCTTGATCTCAGGGTTGTGAGTTTGAGCACCACACTGGGCGAGGAGCCCACTTAAAATTAAAAAAGAAGGTTATCACTGAGCCTGGGAGTTAGGATGTCATGGGTAACTTCAGAATGCATCATTTCAGCAGGACAGACTGGATAACCTACTTGGATCCAAATAATTAAACAGCACACAAAAGATTCAATTAAATAAGACCAGTAAGCTGTCTGGCTCTCCCCTTTTGCCTTTTTGGCTCCTAATGTATGATGGCAACAGGTGATTCGTCCCTAGGTTGATCACTGAAAGCCCTAGGCTCATATGTTTTCTTGTTGTCTTTCTACTTAATACTCTCTCTGGCTTTGAGGATAATTGTGTTTAGAATCAAAAAGGCTCCTCTTGCTATGAAGGCTTCTTTTTGGGGTGAAGGGAGTAAAGTAAGCCTCATGAGACTGAGGACTTCATCTTTTATTCCTCCAAATGTCTATCTTTCCTTCTGGCTTTTAAGAAGACTGCAGTCCAGGGCTCTGTACAAAAGAGGAACCAAATTAATAGATGTTGAATGACTCATATATAGAGGCAACAGAGAAGTTTATCACCTTCAGATTACAAATATATGTCAATTAGTCTTTGAAAGCAAGACAAGTTGAGAATAATTAAGAGATTAATATATACCAAAAGGACATAAGATAAGGCTAGATCACCTTACATGGACTTCTATAATACTCTGTGGCTTTGGATGTGGCTATTCCAGACCATGTCTTGTAGTAATCATTAAATGAGACTGCCTTAGTTGATCTGAAAATATACATAAAAATCAGGCAATGAGTATTTGCAAGTTTGCTTTTTAAAATTATTTTATCAGATTGGACAGTTTCAGATAACAATATCTTGCCATAAGACAGTAAACTCATTTGCAGTTTCTAATAAGTGATCTAACATTAATTTCTGCACTAACACATAAAAATCACAAAACGAAAATCTTGCCAAACATATTTCAAAGGTAAATGTAAAATGTGCATCCATGTGCATATTATAAAGAGAAAAATATAGGTTTAAGATATCTGCCTTTCATGACTAACATGAAAAAAAGAATTTTAAGAAAAGCATCAGATTTGCATGTTTTCTCTTTCTTCAATAAACAGTTTTCTTGAATATCTATGCCAAATTTTAGTAAAATCACCTTTATTTCCCTTTTATAGTGAGGAAAAATAAAACACCAGAATTGAGATCAGTTTAATTTTCACACAAAATCTGGCCATTTTCATAGAGGGGGGAAAAAACCCAACTCTTTTCTAGTAATCTTGCCTGCACTTTTCCTTCCCTGTGCTGACATTACTTTATCCTAATGGTAGAGCAAAGATTGTTAGAAAATACTGAACAGGAACCGTGAAGCTGTCACTTAAATAACTACATTTCCAACCTTTTTTTATACCAACATTTTGACTGCAGAGATCCTCACCACTCTACAAACAAAACATGACTTTGGGATATTTTCAGATGTGTGAAATCACCAATTAACTGGCTTACATAGATGCTGCATCAGATATAAAAGACCTTATGTCTGTTTTCTTTGAAGTTCTTAGCTCTTCGGAAGAAGTGACTTTTCAGTTAGAACAAGTACACCAGCATTAATTTTCCTAGGTGAATTGTAGCTACCTTGAAGTAAATATCGGACTCAATTTTGAAATGGATGGTACAATAGCTAAATTGTTTAATGCGTTCATTTATTTAAGTGATAATTACAGACACATCATTTAAAGAGTAACATTTTTCAAATGCGTTATTGCTTTTGCAATCACACGTAAGTAGAAATCTGAAACTGGGTGAAGATAAATTAATCACCGCTATTATGGCTCCCAGAGCTGCGTGCGGAGCTTTACACCAGTAAATGACATATTAAACTAACATTAATTTTGCCAACGAAATGTTTCAGCATTTGGCAAGAGAGGTAACAAAATGAAAGGCTGCATTATATCTCCTGCATGAAGAAGCTGGTGATCAATTTGCTGTCACAGATCATTTAGCAGACAACAATGACCCAAGAGGAAGGAAACTGTCAACACACTGTCTCGTGAAAAAAAAATACACCATCTTTAGACACAATCGTCTCCATTGTTTTTTTGTCTGTTTGACGATGACCCATGACCCTCTCCTTTCCCAGTGGTGTCCTGTTCAATTTCAAACTGTTAGCCTTCAGGGGCTTTCTTTTCTTCCCCAGAATAATTTAAAATATTCCTCAAAAAAGGTGTAACTTCAGTATAGTTTGAATACACAAAGCAGAATGTCTTAAACATTTGAGAAAATTTGCATTTCCAAGTCTGTAAAAGAAACAGCCCCTTAAAATAAGAGAACAGTAACTATTTTTATGGTAATTCAGATAAGCGACTAAGTTTACAGGGAATTATACAAACTACACATGTTTATAATTTGAAACATGGACAGGAATTTACTGAGTATTATCATTGGCATTATGAATATGAAAAAGCAGGAGATATAATTTTAAACTGAACATTAGAGCCTATTAGCCTATTGGGAAAATAAGATATATACCCAAATTGGCAAATAGAATAGCTCTATGTTTAACACATAAAGTGTTACATCATTTAACAGAGACATTTGGAGATGACAATGACAGATAGTTCTTTGGCAGTGGCAGCAAGCTAAAAAGGTCGGAAGAGGGAGGTGTGACTTTGTCTCGGAGGCTTTAGGGAAGGAGTCACCTGGGATATGAACCTGGAAGAGATGGAAGCATTTTAGGCCAGGAGACGAGTATTAGCAATAGCTCAGATGGGAAGGAGCACAGTGTATGCACGTGCACATGTGTACAGACCACGTTGAGGGAAGAGACAATAATGACAAGAGAACCAACCGTAGTGGAGAGTTCCAATTTCAGAGCAATTGGAATTCGACAAAATAGTTGAAAGTGGGCAATGCAGGGTCTTCAGATTTAGGCAGAGAATGGGTTAGAGTTGATTCAGTATTCTGATTTATTGGGTGATAGACAGCAATCAGAAGTTCTTGAATAAGGCAAATAAATTATGGAACGAGTGTGTAAGTTTTTTCTGGCTTTAGTATGCAGGGTGGAGCATATAAGAGACCAAATGCAGGCAGACAAGCTAGGAAACAGATGCAGAAATTCAGGCAAGAAACGCAGAGCCAATAGAGGGTGGGAGCAGAGACTGTGAAAGGGAGGAGACGAACCTCTGACACAATAAATGAAATGACTGGACTGGTTTTCTGATAGGGTGTGTGAAAGGTGAAGGAATCTGGGGGTCAAATATTCTTCTAAAGCCTGGAAGACCATTTAGTTTTGCTATTAACAGAAAGCATCTACAGAGTCTGAAGTAAAATATGAGTTTAAACTTAAACATGGGTTTTAGGTGATGACCCTTAGGAGTGTGACTGAGAAATTGAGACTGGAAATAAGAGATTAGGGTCAAATCAACAAAAAGGTTGATAGATGATGCCATTAGGGAAAACAAACATAGAAAGAGTAAGTAAGTGTTTAGAAAAGAAAGATCAGAAGCCAATTCAGAGTTAAGAGGAGCCAGTGAAGGAAACAAAAAGGATCATAAAGGGAAGAAGAGAGTCAAGGTAGTGTTACTTCATGGAAGCAATATCCCACCCATAACTCAAGCCTACTGACTAAACCCCTACAAATCTCTGGATATTTAGTTATGTAGCATCATGATTAGGAGTATAGGCTCTGGAATCATCTGGCGTGTGTTAAAACACTCAGGTACTGCTACTTGTTAGCTGTGTGACTCCAGGCAGACAATAATTTCACTCCTGTTTCTTCATGTATAAAATTAACTTAGAACTTTCTCCAGTGGTTGTGGTGAGCATTCAGTGAAGTCTTCCATGGGAACAGCCAGGCAGGGAGTTTAGCATCCCTTAACCTTCAGTGTCAGCTACAGCTGCTTCTCTCCATTGCTCTGAATAAGTACCTCATCATTTCTCTTCTGCAAACTCTAAACAGCTTCCTAATTGTTTTTCTGTCTCTCCCTATTCCAGATTATCATGCATCTGCTTGCAAACCATGTTTGGTGGCTTAATTCTACAGGATAAAGTCTAAACACTTTCAAATAGAACTCGAGGTGTGTTAGCATCTGGCTATTTCCAACCGTTTCTTCCACCATCATCTGCACGTACAGAGGCTCCGTCATATGGAACTTCCTGCTGATCCTGAGTTTGCCACATATTACATTTCTGTATGTGTGCAAGCAGTCCTATCTAAAGACTCGTTTGTCTCCTGTGCCTGTCCAACTCTTACTTACCAAGGTTCCAGTCCAATAAAAATAGTATGTATATGAAGGTTGTCACAGGGGACATTGTGGTCGCCTCTCCAACAGTAACTATTCCATTCCTCCCCCTCACATACATGCCATTCAGCCTGACAGGACTGACCTCCACCCTGACTCTAAGTCAGGGCCTGATGGGTTTAAGGCTTTCGGACAATGGGAACTGTTTAGGGACAGGAACACGACCTAGAAAGATCCAGTCAGACTGAAATTTATTCTCACTTTCCAGTGAATCCTGATAACTGGCAGTGTCAATCCTCTTTGTTCTTCTTCAAGATTGTCTTGTTATCCTAAATCCTTTGCATTTTTAGATATACTTTAAAACCATCCTGTTAATTTCCAGGGGAAAAAAACTGCTGATATTTTTGACTGAGATTGAATTGAATCTATAGACTAATTTGGAAAGAACTGACATTGCAATAATACTCAGTCTCTCCCAAGTCACAAACTTTGTATATCTATTTCTTTAGGTCTTTTAAAATTTCTCCCAGATACATTTTGTGGGTATTGGCATAGATGTCTTTTGTTATGTTTTGATGCTATTGTAATGGTATTTCTAACACTTCCATTTCTATGTATTGATTGCTAGTATATAAAAATATAGTTGCTTTTTTAAATGTTCATCTTCTATCCAGGGGTCTAGCTAAATTCACTTATTAATTTTCGAGCTTTGTATATTCATTTGGATTTTACTATTATATAATCCCATTATCTGTGAATAAAGATGGTTTACTTCCTCCTTTCCAAACTTTATAACTTTTCTTCCTGGCTTCATTGCACTGGCTAGGACTTCTAGCACAGTGCTGAATAGAAGTGGTGATCATGGACATACTTGTCTCATTAAACTCAGGAGGAAAGCATTCAACATTTCACATCTGAGTATGAGGTTTGCCATTGGATTTTTATAGATTTTCTTTATTGGAATAAGGAATTTCTTCTCTATTCCTACTTTGGTGAGAATTTTTATCATGAATGGGTGATAAATTTTAGCAAATACTTTTTCCTGATTCGTTGAGATCATTTTATGTTTTTTTTCCTTTATTTGGTTAACTTCGTGAGTTATGCTGATTTAAAAATTTTAACCCAACCTGGCTTTCCTGAAATGAAGCCCTCTTAGTCATGATGTATTACCCCTTTTTATGTATAAGTGGATTCAATTTGCTAATATTTTGATTAGGCTTTATGCTTCTGTGTTTATGAGAGGTTATGGCCTATAATTTTTCTTTCGTGTAATAATCTCAGATTTTAGAATCAGACTTTGGAAGTGTGGAGCTATACCCATTTTCTCTATTCAGCAAAAAAAATTTGAATACTTTTCTTCAAAAACTTTTTTTTTTAATTTTGAAATACAGGCATACCTCATTATATTGTGCTTTTCAGATACTGCAGTTTTTGCAAATGGAAGGTTTGTGTTAACATTGTGTCAAGCAAATCTGTGCCAGTTTTCCAACAGCTTTTTTTCACTTCCTGTCTCTTTGTCACATTTTGGTAATTCTCACAATATTTCAAACTTTTCCATTATTATATTAGTTATGATGATCTGTGGCCAGTGATCTTTGATGTTACCATGGTAATTATTTTGGGGTGCCATGAACCACACGTGTGCAGTATGGCAAACCTAATTGGTAGATGTGAGTGTTCTGGCTGCTCCACCCACTGGCCGTTCCCCTGTCTCTCTCCCTCTCCTCCAGTCTCCCTATTCTGTGACAGAACAATATTGGAATTAGTCCAACTAACAACCCTACGATGGTCTCAGCGTTCAAGTGTAAGGAAGAGAAGCAGAAGCTAGACATGACTAAGCTTAGGGAGAAGGCGTATCGAAAGCTGAGATAGGCTGAAAACTAGGCTTCTTGAACCAAACAGTCAAGTTGTGAAGGCAAAGGAGAAGCTCTTGAAGGAAATTAAAAGTGTTACTCCACTGAACACAGGAATGATAGAAAGCAAAACAGCCTTAATGTGGATATGGAGAAAATCTGCATGGTCTGGATAGAAGATCTCACCAACCACAACATTCGCTTAAGACAAAGACCAGTCCAGAGCACGGCGCTAACTCTCTTCATTCCGCGAGGGCTGAGAGAGGTGAAGAAGCTGCCAAAGACAAGTCTGAAGTTGGCAGAGGCTGGTTCAGGGGTTTAAGGAACGAAGCTGTCTCTGTAACATAAAGAAGCAAGGTGAAGCTGCAAGTGCTGATGTACAAACTGCAGCAAGTTCTCCAGAAGGTTTAGCTCAGATACTAACACATGTGATAGTTCATAACCCATCCTTCGCATCCTTTTAATGTTAGTAAGTAAAAGTCTGCAGAATCATGTCCAAAAAGACACTTCTATTTTCTTGATATCTAGCAACCAATCCCCTTCTCCCTCACAACTTCTAGTTTTGTACCTCAGGTCCTGATACACTTTGGTTGCCCCTGGCATCTGGATTCATTTTTACTTTTTATTCTGGATGTCAAATTACTTTCCCTTGGGTCAGGTGGTGGAGAAATATGCTCTCTCACACTTCCATGCTTCTGAATGCGTTATTCCCTCTGCCTGAATGTCCTCCTCTTGTCTGTAGGTGACTTCCTATTCTCCCTTTAGAAATCACCTCAGGCATCACCTTCTCCTGGAAGCTGGTCTTTATATGCCCCTCCTCCCACTCTGGCAGTCCAAGCTTTAGGAAGATATTTCTTCCTCTATGCTCCTCCAACATCTAGATCTCATCTCTGTAATAGGACTTACTATATTGTAAGTATTAATGTAATAAAACAATTAATAGGTATGGCCCAATGGAATGTTAGATTGCATTTAACAGAGGTAGCACCAGTGAGAGGTGACTTGGTGAAAAAAATATAAGCCTCTAAAGGAGGGCTTTAAAAAAAAGCTACAGGAGAAGAATTTTCTACTCAATATGACTCATTTTAAATATGATTCCCTCTGACTTCAGCATTCCCCCCAGCCGCAATCCTGGTATTAGCCCTGTGGCCTTCCAACTACATCTTTTGGTAGAAGTTGCTCCCTATATGGTCCTATAGGATGGACAGTCAGGCACACTCCCCACACTATCTTCTCCTCAGAGGAGAGCTTCCAATCCTAGACTATAAATCATGTGAGACCAAAGATGATATATTATTCAGATGTGTGTCCCCAGTATGGGAGCACAGTGTCTATTACAGAGCAAATGCTCAGTGAATATATTTTAAATAAATGAGTAAGTAGCTGTTCTCCCAGAAGCCACCCTATGTCTTGTTAAGTGGCATCCTATAGCCCATGTGCAAACTTCCCAGGTGATAAGCACAAGCCTAAACCATTTTTAATTACGGAACATCAACTGGATTCCCCTGACTATATTCTACTCAACTGACTAGACTTTACCTATGTTTTGCTTTATCTTTTGGAAACAGGGTCTTAACTGTCTGGCTAGGCCTCTGGAATTCATTTCTGTAGTCAGGTTAATACTTTTAGCTCATAAAGTAGAGTAAAGTCCTAGCATATGGTGCTAGACAGACAATGCTAAGAGCAGCATCTCTTTTGGAATAACTTCTGTGAGACCTCATTGTACAAGTCTACATAAAAACTAAAAACAAGGGGCACCTGGGTGGCTCAGTCAGTTGAGCATCCGACATTGGCTCAGGTCATGATCTCGTGGTTCACGAGTTTGAGCCCCGCATCGAGCTCTGCACTGATAGCACAGAGCCTCGAGCCTGCTTCAGATTCTGTGTGCCCCCCCCCTCTGTCCCTCCCATGCTCATGCTCTCTCTCTCTCAAAAACAAACAAACAAACAAACAAACAAACAAACAAACATTTAAAACATTTTAAAAATTAAAAGCTAGACATAACTGAGCTTTGTCCCATAACAAATGTACCAGGGGTAAACATTTGGAGCCACAGATATATAATAAATTGCAGCCTCCTATATACTAGGAGTGTAGAGTATCATTGAAATATAGATTATATTGCTTCAATTGAGTCCTAGAGATTTCTCTAGAGATTGCAGGCTAGCACTATGGGAACACCACAGATAAGACCTGATTCTGGCTTCATTTATTCTGGGTTTCATTCAGAGGACCAGCCAACGCTGAGACCACAGAAGTTCTTCTGGCCTCCATTTCACTGCCTTATTAGTAAATGCTGGCACCGTACTTTTATGCACTGCAAATGATTATACCACAAAGAGAAAGAGCTTTGTAAAATTCCAGGGACATTCATGTTTTAGAGGAGATAAAACAGTGTTGGCACATTCAACAACTATTTACCACAGGTCCATTTTGTGCCAAGAAGGTAAGTTGCTTCTTTCCATTTGATAAATTTAAGGGGCAGTGATGTCCTTTACTGAATGCCAACAGGGTGCACTATTTATTAGATTGTACTTGCCTTCCTGAAACTTTCCAAGACTTTCACCAACCGAAGCCACCTGAGTTACCTAACTTGCTCATCTTTTATATAGGGCCGGTCAAGAAAGCATAAGCTGAAGCAAGTCATTTCAACACTAGTTAACTGTCTTCTATATCTGACTGACTACAAAATTAAGGCTGATGGAAATGCTCAAGAAACTAAATACTGCAGAACTATAAATGAGAACATTGTCCTGTACCTTGTTCAGGTGTTCATGGCTAAACTGTTGCCACATTTTCATGTTATCTCCTAAAAGGTACAATGGATTCATCCCTAACTCTCACCATTTTCCTCTGGGACCTTATATTTCCCTAATTGCTTGGCTTTTTATGATGTGTAAATGGTTTGTGCTCATTATATTGATAACATGTTTTTTCTTTATCTGCAATAAAAAATGAAAATTAAAGGAAGAGGCAAGTTCATATAATTACATTAAATTTTAATTTAATAGTCTACAAAGAATTCAATCACTTTTCCACATTCTTCCCAAAAACAACATTAAGAAAAAAGCATTGTAAGAGGAAAAGAGATCTACTTCCTTTTCTAGGTTAAAAAGCGAAAATTTGGAGCACCTGGATGACTCAGCCGGTTAAGTGTCTGACTCTCGATTTCAGCTCAGGATATGATCTCATGGTTTGTGAGATGGAGTCCTGTGTCTGACAGCACAGAGCCTGCTTGGGATTCTCTCTCCCTCTCTGTCTACCCCTCCCCTGCTTGTGCTCTCTTTCTCTCTCTCTCAAAAATAAATAAACTGTAAGTAAGTAAGTAAATAAATAAACAAATAAAGTAAAAATTCAATTATGATAAAAAAATATAAACCGTTTAAATCAATAGTCCTTTTAGTAAATAAATTGAGGTCATGAGTTCGAGCACCATGTCAGGTGTAGAGATTAAAGAGAAAGAGAGAGGAAAGAATGAAGGAAGGAAGGAAGGAAAAAAGGAAGGAATTGACATAGAATATATAAAGAAAAACTTACCTGGGGCACATATGTGTTTCAGTTGGTTAAGCATCCAACTCTTGATTTAGGCTCAAGTCACGATCTCAGAGTCATGAGTTTGAGCCCCATATCAGGCTCTGCACCGACAGCCTGCTTGGGATTCTCTCTCTCCCTCTCTCTCTGCCCCTCCCCCACTTACACGTGCGTGTGTGCTCTCTCTCTCAAAATAAATAAACATTTTTTTTTTTAAAAGAAAAACTTACCTGATAAATTTATCTGGATCTTTAAGTGACTCAGGCCTGTCATCTCTCACTGTAAAGAAAAATATGAAAGGGATCTGGTTGACTTAGAAGAAGGAATAAGTGGTTTTATGTACACTCTTTCCAAACCCTCAATAAAATAGTAATAAAAGAATAAAACTAAAGTATAAAACCTCAAGGAGAGCAACAGAAAAACAGGCAGAAAATCATCAAGGTGAAAGATGTTAAGTGGTAACTGTCTTAGCCAAAAAATTGAAATCAAATGACATGATGAGGGGACACCAATAAAAAGCATATGAATTTACACTTCAGAACCTGGGAAACAATTTAGGAATTGGAGATGCCAGATGACTCTGACTATGTAATTTGTTGCGCAAACCAGAGCACAGAGTAAAGGGGGGTGTTAGAAATAATTATAGCAGAACTGTCCCAGGCAGTCTGGTGTACATGAACACCCTCGTTACCAGTAAGAGAGACAGGGTCCAGTCCCAAAGAAGATGGCAGGATTTGGCAAGGTCATTGGGACCTCCATCATCTGGGTTTGAGCTCACAGCTTAGCGTGTTCTTGTCAATACGCCAAGGCAGAGACCTGAGACCTAGCTGTTCAGGCTAGACAAACATCACGTTATGGAAAGTTTGGGGAATGAGAGGCATTTGCATGTCTGCATACCAAATACCAGGCTTAGGCTTAGGCTTAGGCTTAGGCTAATGAAATTAATTCCAGACCACTGATTATGAGGGAGAAGTCCTCATGTATTTAAGGTGTGTACCAGCACGAGGCAGGGCCAAGCCTGCAGATTCTGGACCATAGTGGCTACAACCTAGTAGGCCTGTGGAAGGCAGAACTGATTGCAGCTACTTCAGTTTTTTGGAACAACAGAGAGGAAATCGCCCTTTTCTCTATGAAAGCCCTTCAAATATTTGAAAACAGCTGCCTTTTATCATTTCTTCCATTAGCTAAACATACACAGTTTCTTCAGCTCAGGGAATGTGATGCTCCAGATTGAGCATGCTGGTAACTCCAGATGAGGGCCCTGCACACCAGAGTAGGGTAGGATTTTCATACAACAGATACCTGATGGAAAGGCACTTTCTATACCTTAAGTTTGTGATCAAATAAATTCCCCAAGAAGTTTTTCAGGGAGTTCTGCTGCCAAGTCAGCTCTCTCTTATTCTTTCCTGGGAAGTTTTAATGCTCTGATCCCAAATGAATGACTTTATGCTCATTCTATTAAATTTGGAGGCACAGGGAAGGGGAACGCCTGGGTTGAAGGTCTGACCTCTGCAGCTTGCTCTCTGTGGCCTAGGGCCAACCACTTCACCAATGACCCTCAGCTTCCTCACTGAGGAAGAGGCTGAGCATCAGATGAATAAATGTGTATGAAAGCATTTTGTAAACTATGAAGTAAAATCAGGATCTAAGTTCACATGCAGTTTTTCATTCATTCATTCTACAAGTTTTTATTCAATACCTACCAACAGACAGTACACTGGGTACTGAGGGTGTAGTTCTAGCCTATAATCAATGCCTCCAGAGAGGATACAATTTGCTGCCTCTTGAGTTTCTCTTTTATACAATTAACTATCTGTTCTAGTTTTGGGTTATCTAAAACTATGGTAATTCCTTTTAAGCATTTTCTAGCTCTCTTTATTAATCTTTTAAACTATATGAAATATGACTCTTGAAGTATTCTAGTGAGACATTTTTTTCAAGTTGTTACAAGTAGTGGCACCTGGGTGGCTCAGTCCGTTGAGTGTCTGACTTCGGCTCAGGTCATGGTCTCATGGCTCATGAGTATGAGCCCTGCATCAGGCTCTGTCTCTCCCTCTCTCTCAAAAATAAATAAACATTAAAATTTTTTTTTCTAAAGTGTTACAAGTAATTTATTCTCACTGGATGAAGTTTTTCACAGAAATCCATAGTTTGATACCCTCTAATTTAGAACAAGTTTTCTACTACTTCTCCCCTGCCTCCCACCCCCTTAGCAGCTGTCTCTGCTGTATCATGGACACTCTTGCCCTTGGAAGCTGCGGGAAGTCAGTCTCTTTATGGAACCCTAGGCCACCACTCATAGTCTGGCTGAGGTGGCAAGCAAGCTGATAACTATTTACTGTCTTGGATTTCCACATATTTCACCAACATAACTAAAGAATATGGTGAAAACCTGCCAAAGTTCTATTTGCTCTGTTGCTCCTGTGCAAGGGAGATTTAGCAACTGGGGCAGCTTTTCTGTCTGACTTTATGGCACAGCTGGAGAACCAAAAGGAGTGAAGGATGGCAACTACTAGACAGGAGGACAAAAGGAAGGACTCAAGTTTTTTTTTTTTTTTCTCATCCTTCCTTTTTGCAGGGCAAACCCAAAATCTATTGCACAGAATCATTTGCTATAGAAAATCCTTTAAAACCAGTTTTTAAATTTCCATTTACTAGACTGTGGACATAGCTTTGTTATAGAATCTTTCTCTATAATGATGGTACTGTAGGGCTCAATGAACGGTTAAGTGATATAAATTGTTTATTCATTCATTCCACAAATAGTAACTGAGTGTAGAGGATACAGTTGTGGAGGCTATAGTATTCCAGTGGGTCAGAAATGTGGCCAGAGTGAAGCGATCAGACTCCTCTGTGTACAAACCAGTTTCAAAACTGTCAGGGATTGGTTGAGGGACTCCATGACTATCATGACGTGTTTGAAGATACTGAAAAAGATGCCTGTCATCACTGCTTGATTTGCACCAGACCCAGAAGTCCTATGGAGGAGCACTTGAACTTGGTCACAATTGTACAGACCTAGCTAATGGACTGGCAAGCCCTACAAAGGGAAGGGAAAAAGAAGCAGAGGACATCTGAACAAAAAAGTACAGAGAGCTCCGTTTGGGAGAGCGAGTCTGAACAGCAAGGCTTGTTGTTGGGGAGGTAATACCAGCTATGACACATGGCTGCCGTGTGCCGCTAGAAGGGGGAGGGGCAGGACATAGAGGAAAGAACTGTCCCTAGGGGCCTAACCCTCATTTATGGCAAACCTCCCTGGTCATAAGAAGCCAACAGCATTACTCTGCTAACACAGAAACAGTGAAGACGATGGGGTAAGTCATGAAGAGGTCACTGGCAGGATCAGAGTGAGCAAAAAAAAAAAAAATTGTATATATATATAAAAATATATAAAAATATTATATATATATATATAAACACATCACTGGTCAATAGAGCAGAAAGACTCAAGAGCTTCAGGTGCCATTTCCACATGGACTCTTAGAAGGAATACGTTGAGGAAGAACTCTTCAGAACAAAAAGCTAAACATATTGCTTGCTAATCAAGAGGAAAGGAGTTCCAGATCAGTAAGATCTGGGGTATTGCAGATGAAATCTGGGAAATATCCATTATAGATCGAAGAGTTAAAATCAGATGTCATGTCTTTGTGATGGGTAAATAATTTTCAGTCAGTACCATCCATCCTTATGACCATAACATTTAAAAATACTAAGCTTACGATTGCTGATAACCTTTAAAGAACAACTTTTGACTGGCTTTTTGATGACTGAGTAGCTTGACAAAGCAGTACAGTAGGAGAGATCTTAGTATGATTTCATTACTGAAAATGGATACAAAAAACATTCCCTCATGTAACAGTTATTTACTAGGTCATTCATTTGCATAAATGTATAATTAATAATTGGCAAAAAACAGTAAGTAGGCACTTCTTACATTGTGATGGTTGGTTGAAAAATCTTAGAACTATTTGTTTGTACAGAGATTCATCTTTAATCAGCATTTGGGCTGCTTCCAAATTCACTGGATTTTCTAGCACTGGATTCGAAAGCATAACCTACAGGAAAAAAAAAAACAGAAAAATTAGAGTTTTTAAAGTAAACTTTTTTGTTAGAGCAAAAAGACAAGCAAACACAGACAAGAATAACAGCATTTATTAAATGTCTACTATGCCTCCATCTGGAGACAGGTATGAAGACAAATGAGACATGGTCCCTACTCTCAAGAAACTCTTGATCTACCTTAGTTTTATACTGTACATTCATGAGCCAAACAAAGCAAGTTATAAGTTCCTTCCTATGACCTATTCCTTTCTACCACATGAATTTAAGTTCAATTTATGTATAAATTAAACTCAACATTAAGAAACACTGAGACATTCCCATTAAAAAATAAAAGTTTACATTTTATTTTTTAAATGTTTATTTCTTTATTTTGAGAGAGAGAGAGAGAGAGAGAGAGAGAGAGAGAGAGAGAGAACTACTGAGCACAGGGCAGGGGCAGAGAAAGAGGGTGAGAGAGAATCCCAAGCAGGCTCTACGCTGCCAGTGCAGAGCCTGATGTGGAGCTCCAGCTCATGTACTGCAAGATCACGACCTGAGCCAAAATCCAGAGTTGAATGCTTAACTGACTGAGCCACCCAGGCACCCCAAAGGTTTGCATTTTAACATAAGACCATACTTAGATATGGATAAGCAAACATATGTATTAAGGCTGTGTATACCTCAATATTCCTCCAGATCCCTGAATGATTAGTTTTTTATCTGTAGTTTTCTACTGCTGCTGTAACAAATTAGCACAACTTTAGCAGCTTAAACAATACAAACTTATTATCTCATACTTCTGTAGGTGGGAAGTCTGGGGTGATTAGGCTGGTTTCTCTTTTCCAGATTTAACAAGACTAAAATCAAAGTGTTGGCTGGCTGGGCCCTTATGAGAGGTTCTGAAAGAATCTGTTTCCAAGCTCATTCCGGTTGTTTGTTAGCTGAATTCAGACCCTTGAATTTGTAGGACTGAAGTCCCTGTTTCTTTGCTGGCTGTAAGCTGGGGGCCATCCTTAGCTACAAGAAGTCTCTTGCAGGTTACATTTGGACATCTCAGAGAAATTAAGGTATTAAAAAAACCCTTCTTATTCTTGGAATTGCTCTGATGTCCCCTCCTGCCACAACCATTCTCCTTCTTCTACTGTATTTCTCTGAGTGACTCTTCTGTCTTCCTCTTCTGTTGGTAACAGGCCATATAATTACTTTGGGTCCCCCTGTATAATTCAAGATTACCTTCATATTTTAAGGTCAGATGATTCGTAACCATAATTCCATCCGCAAAGTCCTTTTACAGCAGTATGTATATTATACTGAATAACCAGAGGATGGGAGTCTTAGGATATCTTGAAAATTCTGCCTGCTATAGTATATGTGCATCTGGGCAAAATAGGGTGACCAATAGTAACCAAAACTTGATAGCTCCGCTAAACCATAATCTTGTCTATCCATCACCTCAAATTTTTAATTATTTTCCCAAATTGCAAGTATTTATTCAATAATTCAGTATTGTGACTATTACAACATTCAAATTAGATAATAAAATACAGCCAAAATAATAACTACCAGAATACCTACATGTAGATCCAAGTGGATAATTGTGGCTTATGTGTCATGGAAATGATGGCAGTCATGACCAATGAAAGCAATAATCTGACATCTGATATCTCAAAAGCATTAAGAACTCACTGCTGTTATTTGAGTTTTTCTGTTTGGAAAACACATTTGAGCTATGTTTCCAAGAATATTGTAAGTTGCTTGAATAAGGATTCAGTGTGGGTTGCACTATACCTCTCAAAGTGGGCAGGAAGCAGATCAAACTTATCTTCAAGAGCAAGCTTTTGGTCTTTGGCTGGAGAGGCAATCTTACTCAGAGGCACATCTGGTAAAGTTTATTCAATAGTCTTCACGTTGACACTGTGCCCAAGACCTTTCCGTATAATGTGTACACAAGCTACTACATGTACTTAATGATTTTTAAGAACTGGAATATACTCAAATGTATCAATGAGACACCTTGTTAAAATAGTAAAAAAAAAAATAAAGGTCCAACTTTTAAATTAGCCATGTGATCGTATGAAAGAACATAAAGCATATTTCCAGAGGATAAGTACAAAACAAACCTGAAGCATTGGTAAACAACTGTAACAGTAGGTACAATTTATAATTTTCAATTAGTTAAAGCCCATGAATTTAGAATTCCTTTTATGGATAGGTGTTGGTATTTACCTTTGCACTATATATTGAAGTACAAGTGTTCTTAAAATATTTTATGAGATTATAAAAATTTTTAGGAGGAAATGAGTAGTATAGTTAAACTTTAAAATATTTTAAACACATTTCAAATGCTACTCCCTTGAAAATCAATGTGAAAATTATACGTAGGTCTCATCTGTTATTTAAAGGGAAGTATTCAGAAATGATGGCCTATCCATGTACTGTCCATTACAGTAGGCACTAGCCATATGTGGCTATTGAAATTTAAATTAAATAAAATAAGTGAAAAACTGAGTCCTCCTCAGTTACACCAGCCACGTTTCAAGTTCTCAGTAGCCATGTGACTAGTGCCCACCGTATTAAGACAGTGCAGATACTGGACATTACTGTCAGTGCAGAAAGTTCTACTGGGCAGTGCTGACCTCAAAAGGACCATTAAATAGCTATTAAAATATTAACTGCAGCAATATGAAAATTACTTGAGATAAAATATTAAGTGAAAAATAAACAGGTCCAGTAATTTACAGATATAAACCATAATTGAAACAACGCAACAATTCAGGTTCGTTCTTCCATTTGTGTGACTTAGTACCTACCGTCAGCATTGTCCTGGGTAGGTACTGGGGAATCAGAGATGAATTGGACCTGTTCCCTGACCTCGAGGAGCTTCTAGTCCAACAGGAGAAGACAGATAAGAAAACAGTATGTGCTTTACAGTATTACAGTGCCCTGATAGAAATCTGTTTAGAGTACTACTTACTGGGTGGGGGACACAAGAAATTCCTCAAACACCAAACCCATCAGTTCTACCTATGAAAGAAAGTCAGGAAAGGTATCCCAAAGGAGGACTCATTTGCCCTGACTCTGCTAATGGGAGCGGCCGCTTGCCAGACAGACCGAGCAAGAGGGAAGGAGAGACTGGGTTGTCAGGCAGAAACCAGACTGGGCACTTCTCAAGGTCCAAGACTTGCTTGAGTTTGTAACTTTAGAATTGAGAGCTTTATAAATGCTTTTTAACCTGAACTGAACCACGCACTGTGAGTGAAGAAAAGCATGAAGATACAATACGAGGGGGCTGCATGGTACGTCAGGGAGAGAATGAAGCCCAGGTGTGAGGACAAGGGGGTTGTTTGTCAGGCAACAGAACTGAGCTTGACACTGTAGTGAATGTGGAACTGAAAGATTTCAAACAAACAAGCAAAAAAAAAAAAAAAAAAAAAAAAAACAGAGGAGAAAACATTACAGGGATATGTTAATAACAGCAGGATTAGGGGTTTTCTTTATGACTATCAGTGATTTTCTTTTCCTTTCTACTATCTTACAGATCTGTAACGTGAGCATGTTTGTTTTATAAATCTATCTGAAAAATAAAAAGACAAACAACTGTGTCATCTACTGGCTTTCCATGATATATTTGGCTGTACTTTGCTGTCACTTTGTTAAAGGTAAGAACAATCATAATATTAACTAGCTTTTATTGAGTTCTTTTCTTGGACCACTCACGATTCTAAGTTCATGTGTTAATTTATTTAATCCTCACAAGTTATACAAGGGAGTTACTAACAGCCCCATTTTACTGATGGAGAATTTCAGGTATTTAGAAGTGAAGAAATTTGTCCAGTGGTACAAAGGTGTGAAGTGGCAGGACGAAGCACCCTGAACTCAGAGCCCTAAATCTTCCTTTTATTAAATTAGTCTGCAATTCAAATTCTCTATCATTTCATTCTGGATTGCCCTCACTCATTACATTTTGGGAACATTTGGTTTTACTATTCTTCAGGCAGATCCTAATTTGGGTAGAAGAGATTGGAATGTGACTCACTCTGAAGGAATCCAGAAGATCAATCCCAGAGACCTGTGTATCACACTCCCTTACTTCTTTCCAGTGTTTGCTCAAATATCTCTTCCCAAACATGGCCTAACACAGGTAGATGCTCAGTACATATTTGTAGAATGAATGAATGAATGAATGAATGAATGAATGAATAAGCTTGAGCATTTAATCTTCAAAAAGATTATTTTTCTCAGTATATACTAAGATGACTACACAGAACATTTTTTTTTTCAAAAATAAGAAACAGAATTTCTCTTATAATTCTGTGTGATGGAGAGAATTCAATTAAGCCAGAATACTTTATTCTCTAAGTATTCCAGATAATCAACATTTAATAGTTTATCTTCAGATATTATTAATGATATAAGTAGGTCCATGGAAAAGACATTGCTGAGCTGGATTATAGGTGGTCAAAGCAAGTGCCACTGAAATAATTTATTTTAGCACCAGAGGAGAAAGGAGGCTCATTGAGGGACAGAAATAACACAACACTGAGGCATGCTTCTTAGGACGATGCATCCAAGAGGCAAGGGGGCATTCCAGAAACAGGCATCAGTCTGGGGGGGGGGGGCGGGGAATCCCTGGTTTAATTGTTCCCTGGGTTTGATATGAAAGTTATAAAAGAGCAAGTCGCTAGCACTGTCAGAAGCCAAGCTGATAAAGCTGAACATTTTAAGTTCTAGCCATTTGATTCACCTCTCTGAGCAAGGCAAGATTCATGAATGAAGAAGGATCACATCCAATATTATGAAGTGAAGTTAGAAGCCAAAAGAAAACTTAAGACTGTATTTCTAGAATTGAAACCATCCAGTTCTTTTTTTAAATAAAATATGCATTCTCTCATTGTAAAGGGACCTAACTATCAATTTCACTTTAAAATAATAATCTTTGTAAGTCCCACTTTATAACCTTGGTGTAAAAATGTTATTGATTTACATAAGCTTACTCAAATCCTTCAAACATTTAAATATGCATTGTACATCTTATTCCTTATATTTTGAATAACTGGGAGAGTTCAAAGTATTAAAGAGAGCATTAGGAGTGCCTGGGAGGCTCGGTCGGTTAAGCATTTGACTCTTGATTTTGAGAGTGGTCATGGTCATGAGATCGAGCCCCACATTGGGCTCTGAGCTGACAGTGTGAAGCCTGCTTGGGATTCTCTCTCTCTCTCTGACCCTCCCCACTTCTCAAAATAAATAAATAAACTTGTAAACAAATTTAAACAGAACACTGTATTACTCTGTTCTTACCTGGAGGGTAAATAGAATGCTGCTCAATGTATAGCTTGTATTCCACTTAGCAGGGTTGTCCAAAAAATCTATACAGGCCCGACCAGTATTTTGGTCTACTGTATTGAAATAATACATTAATATTGACACATATAATAAAATTATTATTTACAGTTTATGAACATCAAAATATCACAGGCAAAATCAGAAAGCAAATGAGAAAGCAGAAAAGTATTTTCAGTGAATGTGACTGGCAGTTGATATAGTGTAGCTGTTAAAAGCATACATATAGATCTGAACATTGACTCCCCTGCTTTGTCAGCTCTGTGACCTTGAGCAATTTAACTTTACCTCTCTAAGTCTCACTTTCCTAATGTGTGAAAGGGGGATACAATGAAAGAAACTATCTTCACTAAAAAGAATTAAAAGATAAAGTACATTTTATTAGCATATTAAAAACTCTTGTAAATAATAAGAGAAACATTTGTACCCTAATAGAAAAACCTTGCCATAAAAAGCTAAGAAGTGAAAAGAAAATTGTGAAAAGGTGAAAAGAGAGCTGTTGGATTTGACATTGTGTTGTAAAACTATAATAATTATAACCCTGGAGTGGGATGTGAGATTAAACAATGTGATAAGAGCCTTTAGAAACAAATCCTATGGCACAAAAACAGACACATAGACCAATGGAATAGAATAGAAACCCCAGAAATAGACTCACAAACGTATGGCCAACTAATCTTTGACAAAGCAGGAAAGAACATCCAATGGAAAAAAGACAGTCTCTTTAACAAATGGTGCTGGGAGAACTGGACAGCAACATGCAGAAGGTTGAAACTAGACCACTTTCTCACACCATTCACAAAAATAAACTCAAAATGGATCAAGGACCTGAATGTGAGACAGGAAACCATCAAAACCTTAGAGGAGAAAGCAGGAAAAGACCTCTCTGACCTCAGCCGTAGCAATCTCTTACTCGACACATCCCCAAAGGCAAGGGAATTAAAAGCAAAAGTGAATTACTGGGACCTTATGAAGATAAAAAGCTTCTGCACAGCAAAGGAAACAACCAACAAAACTAAAAGGCAACCAACGGAATGGGAAAAGATATTTGCAAATGACATATCGGACAAAGGGCTAGTCTCCAAAATCTATAAAGAGCTCACCAAACTCCACACCCGAAAAGCAAATAACCCAGTGAAGAAATGGGCAGAAAACATGAATAGACACTTCTCTATAGAAGACATCCGGATGGCCAACAGGCACATGAAAAGATGTTCAGCGTCGCTCCTTATCAGGGAAATACAAATCAAAACCACACTCAGATATCACCTCACGCCAGTCAGAGTGGCCAAAATGAACAAATCAGGAGACTCTAGATGCTGGAGAGGATGTGGAGAAACGGGAACCCTCTTGCACTGTTGGTGGGAATGCAAATTGGTGCAGCCGCTCTGGAAAGCAGTGTGGAGGTTCCTCAGAAAATTAAAAATAGACCTACCCTATGACCCAGCAATAGCACTGCTAGGAATTTATCCAAGGGACACAGGAGCACTGATGCATAGGGGCACTTGTACCCCAATGTTCATAGCAGCACTCTCAACAATAGCCAAATTATGGAAAGAGCCTAAATGTCCATCAACTGATGAATGGATAAAGAAATTGTGGTTTATATACACTATGGAATACTAAGTGGCAATGAGAAAAAATGAAATATGGCCTTTTGTAGCAACGTGGATGGAACTGGAGAGTGTGATGCTAAGTGAAATAAGCCATACAGAGAAAGACAGATACCATATGGTTTCACTCTTATGTGGATCCTGAGAAACTTAACAGGAACCCATGGGGGAGGGGAAGGAAAAAAAAAAAAAAGAGGTTAGAGTGGGAGAGAGCCAAAGCATAAGAGACTGTTGAGAACTGAGAGCAAACTGAGGGTTGATGGGGGGTGGGAGGGAGGAGAGGGTGGGTGATGGGTATTGAGGAGGGCACCTTTTGGGATGAGCACTGGGTGTTGTATGGAAACCAATTTGACAATAAATTTCATATAAAAAAAAAAGAAACAAATCCTACTATGGGTTACAATTGTTGTATGTTAAAAGTGCAATTATGAGTCAGCGACAAAAGAAAAGATAATCAACAAGTGTGCAGACTACTCATTGTCCTCTGGTATCTACTCTTCCTTTCTTCCATTTCTTCTGTGATAAGAAGCTCTATGCCTGCCCCCATCTCCAACCCTCTCTGTGATTTTAGATAAATACATGGTTGCCTGCATTTTCCCCAGCCTTTCCTCCAGCGAGATGTGACCATGTAACTAAGATGTAATCGCGGGATATCAGCAGAAGGAAAGTGTGCAACTTCTACATCATATTTCCTGAAGGAAGCTGTTTTGCCCTCTGTGGTTCCCCCCCTTCCCACTGGTCACAGAGTAAATGCCTTACATCCAGAAATGATACTGCATGATGAGGACAGCAAAACCTCTCTGCCAGCTTTGTTCTGTTATATACAGATTGGAAAGATACATAGAGCTTAGCATATCCCCTGACACTGTTAATTAACTAAATCAGTATTTTATTTTATTTTGTTAAAAAATTTTTTGTAATGTTTGTTTTTGAGAGAGGCGGGGGGGGGGGGGAGGGTAGAGAAGCAGAGAGAGAAGATTGGAGACACAATCCAAAGCAGGCTCCAGGCTCTTAGCTGTCAGCACAGGCCCCACATGGGGCTCAAACTTGCGAACCATGAGATTATGACCTGAGCCAAAGTCAGATGCTTAACCAACTGAGCCACTCAGGCACCTCAGTTAACTAAATCGGTATTTTAAAGAAAGAATAGAGTTAAATATGACAAATAAGACTACAGAACAACTAAAAGAATATTAAAATGATGATTTGATTGTGTTTGGGGAAAGGGTCATCAAAGTTTAAAGATAATTACAAAAATCTCAAAGGACAAGACTAATAGATATGATTACATAAAAAATTTTAAATCCCAGATATAAAAGAGCCAGCATAAGCAAAATTTAAAAATTAGTGACAGAGGGAAATATTTGCCACATCTAAGACAATGTAATAAACATTGCCAAGTCTGACAATTTGCAAAATAAGAAATACCATCAACAGACATGAAAAAATGTTTAACTCACAAATATTCAAAGAAGTGCTTATTAAAATAAAAAAGTGAGATTTTTATAAAATTGGCAAAAAAAAAAAAAAAAAAAAAGTCTCTGAAGTTTCCATGCCCAGAATTGGAGAGTGATAAAATGAGAACTTTGTACACAGTTACTGGTGGAAGTGTAAATAGCATCCAGAAAGGCAACTTGGCTTTATGTATCTAAACACTTAGAACTATATACAGCCATCTTTTGGAGTTTGGGGGCTAATAAATAATACTCTGCTCCTCCTGAGTTCATATATAATGAAACAGGCCTAACTGTGAAACATCAACTTTACTGTAGGTTAGATCGATATGGAGAATGCATGATCAATGGCTTTAATCAAGCTCCACAAAAAGCCCCCCTGATTTGGACTTAACACCCAAACTGAAGGCCTCCCGTTTTTTGCCTGGAGAAAGTGAGACGGCACCCATTCTCTGGGAAGGCTGGTTGGAAATAAAGTGTTGAAAAAGTGCTGAGGCACACGTGTTCAATTTTTCCTCCTATTTCCCCAACAGATAAGTCACTCAAGTAGTGACAGAGGGAAAGACCAGCAATCACAGATGTTCTATACTTTCTCTCCTTGAGAAAGAAGCTCTTTGTACTTTGTGGAAATGGAAGGTTTGTAACTATGAGTTAAGAAGACCACCTGCCCCCCCCATATTTAACCAGTAACTTCATTTGTGTTTATTTTAAGCAAATAATAGAAAACATACACAATGAATTTTGCACCATAAATTTAATTTTATCCCTTAAAAATAGGGATTTTTTTAAATTACAAAGTAATAATGTACTTGGAAAGAATTATATGAAAGTATATAAAGTAAAATATGAAAACTCCCTTGCCTACTAATGCCACTCTTTAGAATTATTACTAGTTGGTCTATACAAATATACACACACATGTGTGTATGTGAGTGTGTGTATGGTTTTTGTTTTTTCATTAAATGGAATTATATCTTACATGTTATTCTTTGAAGTGTGTTTTTTTTTTCCATTTAACAGTGAATCATCAACATATTTCCGGACTTATTTATTTATTTATTTATTTATTTATTTATTTATTTTTTGATGTTTGTTTGTTTAGAGAGCTCTTGCAGGTGAGAGCAGGAGAGGGGCAGAGAGAGACAGAATTCCAAGCAGGCTCCGCACCGTCAGCACAGAGCCTGATGTGAGTTTCGATCTCACAAGTGCAAGATCATAACTTGAGCCAAAATCAAGAGACGGATGCTTAACCGACTGACCCATCCAGGTGTCACTGGACATATTTATTTAAAAATATTTGAACACCAGGGGCGCCTGGGTGGCGCAGTCGGTTAAGCGTCCGACTTCAGCCAGGTCACGATCTCGCGCTCCGTGAGTTCGAGCCCCGCGTCGGGCTCTGGGCTGATGGCTCAGAGCCTGGAGCCTGTTTCCGATTCTGTGTCTCCCTCTCTCTCTGCCCCTCCCCTGTTCATGCTCTGTCTCTCTCTGTCCCAAAAATAAATAAACGTTGAAAAAAAAATTAAAAAAAAAATTTGAACACCAGATATATGCCAAGTAGTGAATATTCTTGGAATATAGCAATGACCAAAAAGTCTTGCTTTTATATATCTTCCTTGTTATGTATATAGCTGTAAGATATTTTATTTAAAAATTCCAATATCAATGGACACTGGTGTTTATCTCCCTTTTTACTGTTTCCAACATTGTTATTGGGAACAAACATCTTTAAATATTAAACATACTCTTCCACACTGTGCTACTATTTCTATGGAATCATTTATAAATATGGTATTACATGGATTTAGGGCTGTTTGCCCTTTATTGCTGATTAGAAACTGTCAAACTGCTTCCCACATAGGTCACACTAAGGTCATCATTATGTCAGAGAGCCCATGTTAGCCTACCCCTACTAAAATTGTGTAGATTTTTAACATTTTGTAAACATAAGCAATGAATCATAACTTTTGTTTTAATATGCATTTACTTTCTTACTAGTGTGGCTGAACATCTTTTTGTGTTTATTTTTGTTATGTTTCTTCTATAAAGTGTTTGTTTATAACTTTTGCCCATTTTTCTATTGCTTGAATTTTTCTTATTGATTCTTAAGTGCTCTTTATATGTAGTAGATATTCTGTTCTCATTGCAAATATTTTCCCTTGGTTTGCAAAAGTCATGTGTTTTGTCTCTGTTTATAATATTGTTGGACATAGAGAAGTTTTAAAAAGTTTATATAGTTTAAAATACCATGCTTTTTTCATGGATTCTAGGTTTTATCATATTTGAAAAGGCCTTCCTCATCAAGCTGATAAAAATTTCTATTAGATTTTCTTCTTTTTAGTATGTAAAACTTTTAGATTTTTGATATATCAGGAATGCACTTTGTATATAACTTGAACAGCATTCTAATTTCTTTCTAAAATGTTAATTTGTCAGTGCATCATTTTTTATGATAAAAAAATTAGACCCAACGAGAATATTGAACAATACGAGAATAGTTAAGTTTATCATTTGGTCATCAAAAATGACCTTTGAAGAACGTTTAATAATGCAGAAATAAACATGTCATTTTAAAAACTTCATATGTAATATTTCAACTATGTAGAAAAAATACATACATAGTAAAAAGAAAATAAATTTAAGTGTTGAGAGCAATAGCTCTCTGAGTTAGGATTCAAGTTGATAATTTTATCGTGCCTTTGCATATTTTACCCAATAAGCATGCTTACTAATATAACCATAACAAAGTTGTTAAAAAGAAACATTCTTAAACACTTATGAGGAACAAGGACAATAGGGACAGAGCCCCAATGAAGAAATCTCATTTGGTCCTTACCATTTAGATGAAAAGGAATTGTTAAGAATTTCACAACTGGAGGCACCAAATTGTACTCCGATGTAAAATTTATTGTCAGTTGGAAGAATAATCCTATGGTAAAGACACAAACATTTTTACAGAAGTGTCATGTGGCACTGAATACCTGAAACCTGAAGTTTCTCTACACGTTAGCCTCCTCAAGGTCCCTGGATTTTTATTTATAAGTAAATTGGATCACAGGGTATGTAGACTCCCCTACACAGTATAACACACTCTGCACAATCTAATCCCACTGTGTTTTCAGCCTGCTTCCCATCAACCCTTTTTGCCCACTGACTCCATCCCTTAACACCTGCCTCCTGCACTGTATTGCTCATATTTACTGAACTCACTGTTCCAGAACCATTTCTTGTTGATAAGCTTTTGCCATGCTGTTCACTCAGACTGAATTTCCTTCCTCTCCTTCTAAACCTGACAAACTTTTACCCGCTCTTAAGGATTCAACTCAAGTGTCACTTCCCTGAGAAGCCACTCCTGACTTTCCAAGGAGAAATTAACTAATCACTGCCTCCTCAGCATTCCATTCAAAATCCATTACTATCACGTATTATATATATATTTTTTACAATTATCCACTTATGTTTCTCTCCCCTGCTTCACTCGACAAATCTATCTTGTTAAACCACAAAGAAAAAGTGCATGGTCATTAACGTTTATAGTGGCCCAGTCTTCTTAAAAATTTGATTTGTGAAAATTTGGGGGGAAAATCACAGAGGAAAGAAGTGAGAGATAATTGTGGGATTTCTGTGCAAGTAGGAATTTTGAGAGCTATTCTCTGATTTCATGGAAGGCTTACATGATATTCCCAATTGATATACTTTACTGTGTCTGCTTCTTAAAAGTGTAAGAACATTAACATTTGGCAAAAGGAAAAATTCAAATCTAAAATTTCCATCTATGTTGACAAATGGCAAGAAATTAAGCCACATAATGAAAAAATAACACGTGAATACTTTTAAAATGTAGAGAATTTATATATTATAACCTTATTATATACATGAAAGAAAATAGGCTGATAATGGCATAAAGACTTTTAAAAAGCAAATTAGTTTTGAAAACACAAACCTTGCCAAACTGTATTCTGTAGACCTTGAATACTAGCTCCCCATTCCATCAGATCTTCACTTACAGGAAAGGCAGTAATACCCTTTAATTTAAAAAACAAAGCAAAGTGGAAGATTAAATATCACAGCTTTGAAGATCAGATGTCAAATTACAATGAATTCCAAAAACTCCACGTTTTCTTTTCCTGATAAATTTATTTATTTGTTGATTTGGGGAGATGCTAGATATTGTCTTATTACACAGAAGTTAAGGTAGATTTCAAGAAATACACACAATAATAAATTTAAAATAAATCATAAGCATGGAAATTGCAAGCGGGACTACAAAGTCAAGACTGAGATGTGTGGCTTATATAAATCAATAGTAATTTAAGGTTTCAAATAGAAAAGAAGGAAAGAGTTGGAAAGCAGGAATTTCTTCAGAGCTTTAAAAAACTATATGGATGCTCTATTGAAGGAATGAAGTAAAAATTTTTCATTAAGAAAAACACAATTCCAAAATTATGCTTGTATATAAAAATAAAATTTTCATATACTGGAGGTACTGTCCCAATGGATGGACAAGAATGTATTTCATGGAAAACTTTATCACTTATGCTGAGGAATACTTAAATATAGTTGACAAACATTTCTGAGCAACCACATCGTTATTAAGTATGTTAAATGCTAGTCTGGATAAACATTATAATATTTCCATTTTCTCCATTATCTATATTTACATATCACTTCTCCCTTCATCAAATTCTCTTTTACCAGAGAACTACAAAGTTCAGGTAGAGCAGAAACAACATCAAATGTTAGGTTTGTGCATCCAGGATGTTTGTTGTTGGACTCAATAATTGTTCTAACATCTGCAAGCAAAGACAACACTTCTATAGCAGGGGTCGAAACAGAAAAAAAACCACTGAACTACACCTGGAGCAACTGTTGGTAGCCCTCTGTGCATTCCCTCTAAGGTGGCTTTCTTTCCATTCTTTCTCTTAAGTACCCCCTCCCCCCCCTTCCATTTTTAATTCTCTATACCATAAGTGATACATCAGCCTGTGGCACCTATGGACCTCACTGTGGTGGCACTCAGGGCAAACAAAGCCTTCCTCTGTGTTAAAATTATAAAGGAAAGGCACTCGTGCATTATGATAGCAGTTGGTGAAAAGCGCACTAGACAGTGATTAGTAGAACTTAAGACTTAAGAGCAAGGGGGTTTGGAATCAGAAAACCCTATGATAGAATTCTGGGGCCAAATATTTACTGAACCTTTCTAAGACTTAGGTTTCTACTTAATGTAGGTAACAAAACACTACTTAAAAAGAAAAGTTTACTTATTTATCTTAGAAGGGGCGGGGCAGAGAGAGAAAGAGAGAATCTCAAGCAGGCTCCACACCGCCAGAGCAGAGATAGATATGGCGCTTGAACCCACGGAACAGTGAGATCATGACCTGAACCAAAATCAAGACTCAGACACTTAACCAACTGAGCCACCCAGGCACCCCAGCACTACTTATTTTATGATATTGTAATTAATGAGCCACAGCCCTGCACCTACTAATGACTACTTGCTATTCAGGGCTTAAATACGCATAAATTACTTAGCATAATATGCTCAATATTGTGAACTGTTATTATGAAGTAATAATAATTATTATTATTATAGTGTTACAGTGCAATCAACTCATTAAATAACAATGCTGTAGTGGCAAATTAGGTTTAACTAAATTATGCCTTCTAGAATAAACACGGATCAAAATGATTTTTAAAAATTTGTACCCCAACGAAACCCATCCCTCCAGGTTCCCGGTACTTACCTTAAAATTGTTCTCCTTCAACTCTTGGAAGTCTCTTTCCAGCGAGAAGTAAGCCCTGTGGTGCATGATAAGGCAGCAAAGGGCCTGGCACTTGTCCCCACACTCCTAGGGTGCACTCTGAGACAGATGTCTGAGATTACCGGTCACTGTCCCACTCCGACATAAATCTTGTTTTCTAGAGCCCCAGAACGCTGTGTCCTCCCAACAGAAGTGGCTCTAAATTGGACATAGAACAGTGACTTTTTTTTCTCCTCTGACTTCAAGAAGGAAACCGGGCACGTGCTCAACTGCGGTGTGTGACCGCCGTGCCAGCCCACAGCCTGGTCTCAAGGCAAACTTGGATGAGCACCTGGCACAACCCGTGTCGTCCGTGCGGGCGGCGAGCGGGAGAGGTGTAAGCGCAGGGCAGCGTGGGGCCCTCTTTAGTCGGGTAGTTTACGTTTCACAGGTGTAACTGGGTGCCCGCTTCGCAGGAGGTTGCAAATCGGTTGCTAAGCAACAGAACCCCGCGGGAAAGGAGTGGGGGAGTTTGGCTGCCCCTTATCCAATCAGCGACCGGGGCAGGCCTCTGGAAAGCTTCGCAGCCAATCGTCCAACAGTTTCACTTTGACAGGCCAATGAGATCTGTTGTCAAGACAACAACCCCCGCCCCCCACGCCAACTCAGTCCACCAAGGTGGACTGTACCCAATTAGTGTAGAGGGTGGGGTAAAGTCCCAGGATCTTTCAGAAGCGTTCACTCGCAGTCCTTCTCTGAAATGCTTTCACTCTTCTTTGAATATCAGAAACTGTCTGGTAATAAGTAATCACTACATACAAGTCTGAGCTTATTAATCATAAGGTATATGGCAAGCTATCATTCATAATACGTTACAAATATTACTATGTCTTCAAACCCGACAGTTACCTTGGGAGGATGCCCCGGGAACAGGGAAGTATTTCAAATGTATCAGGTTCCCATCTTGTGCCACAGGGTTTTGCACTACTTTGCCTTCTCTAGACATTTACCACATTCCTTCCACCCTTTTCCCCCACCACTTTTCCTTCACTTGTCATTCAGAGTTAACTTCGCCCTCATGGAATCTTTCTTTTGTGATCCTAGAGGACCCTGTGTTTACCTCCTCGTTAGCATTTATCACACTGGATCACAACTGCCTGTCGTCTTCTACAGCAGACTGTGAGCTACTGAAAGGTGCTCGCTTGACAGTGCCGACTACAGAAGTTGACATCATTGTTCAGAGTACCTTCTGGTTAGCTAGTTATTTAGCTAATTTTACAGAAACTGGCTATCAGTTAAATTAGTTCATGCATTCCACAAACATTAAGGACTTCTTATGTGCCATGAAAACAATTCAAATGAAGTGACTGCCTTTATGTCTCCTTTATGCTTTATGGCTCCAGGATACAATAAAGTACACAAAAACAAAACAAGTATACAAAACAAAAATCACAATTTCAGATCGCAGTAGGTGCTGGCTAGACAGTAAAAGAGTAATGTGACAGAGAGTGCAGTAGGTAGTTAAGGGTTAGATATGGTGGTCAAGGAAGGCCTCTGTTAGGAGTGGTTTTTGAGATGATACCTGAAAGATAAGATGAAAAGGATCCAGTTTTATGCAACTGAGGGCAGATACTTCCAGGAAGATGAAAACACAGTAGTTATAGTCAGGGAAAAGCTAGGCTTAAAAAAGGAACCAGGGAGGGCTAGAGAGAGTAGAGGGAGATATAATTAGGGTGGGGCCCTCCCTACATGATGGGAGGTTTGGGTTTTATTTGAATAGCCATGGGGATCCATTCAATGGTTTAAGCCAAAGAGAGTCATGCTCTGATTTCCATTTGCAAAATTTTTCTGGCTGCTTTGTGGAGAATGGATTGTGGGGAAGACAGTTTAGAAGGCTCCCATGGTCAATTTCATGTTCAGGTATGATAGCTTACAGATTCCCAACAATGTATTAATTTTACTAACATTGTAGCACAATAAAATGATTTTATTCTGTTACATAAAACTGACTATAAAAGAATTTTTCCTATTAAAATATCAAGTAGGATCTAAGATCGAACTTTTTTGGCTACCTTTTATATCCAATAGATTTTAACTTGGACCTTATAGAACTGTGAATGTAGAGTGAAAGTGAAGACAGGACATTTTAGTGAGAAGAGAGTATACCCAATTTGAGGGTTTAGCTAGATTTCTTGATGATATGGTGGTTCTGTGGCTCCTTTGACCCTGTAGGGGAACACTGTGATAGTAATTGCATAATCCTTTGTCTTTTCTTTACAATTTTGTTCTAGGGAAAATTATGTTAAGGTAAAAGGAAAAGGTAAAATTAAAACATTCTTTGTTCTGAATTTTTAGAAATTGGTATTTATATGGGTAACTTCAATGCAATGAAAATCAAGTTGGTAGATTCTCATATGACCCCTAAAGTTGATATTACTAGCCTTGATTTCTCCTTGGGACTTCAGCATCGTGTACTCAATTGCCTGGTTCTCAGCCAGCTGTTTCAAAGACATTTCAGATTCAAAATGTCCAAAAATGAACTAAATACCTTTGCTCCTCTTCACTAGCCTCCTATTCCATTTTGTTCATCCAGTTTCTCAAGCTGGAAATCTGAAGTTCCCCTCTGACTTCTCTTCCTCATGACTCACCTTCAAGCCTTCTCGAGCCTTATTACCAGTACCCAAGTTCACAGCCTTGTTATTCTTGCTAGAACACAGAGCATCTTTATACTATACTCTCTGCCTCCAGACTTGTGTGTCATGATACCTCACAGTAATGTATGTAAAACTAACATGTGATCATGTAATTCTCTGTTTAAAATACTGCAAAAGATTCCCTTCACCACCCCAGCTTACCCTGCCTACCTCCATTTTCGGGGTTTTAAATGTGGATTGACTTCTAAGGGTATAGATCTGGGGGCTGTAATTGTGGGCCACCTTGTATTTGCCTGTATATCTGTATGTGTGTGCACATAGGCTTTTTTTTTTTTTTTTTTTTTGTAGAACAGGGTCAAGGAATTCATTAATTTTAATAATCACCTGTGATGTAAAAAGATTAAGAGACCATGCACTATAGAATTAAATCCAAGCTTCCTAACATGGCACTACAAAACTTCCATGATATTTTTCCTATTGACCTTTCCTTTATTGATGCCCATTCTGCTTCATATTTGAAACAGCAGCACTGAACTGCTTGTCTTTTCCCTGTATCACCTTGCCTAGGCTCTCTACCTGGACTTTCTTCCTCTTCTTTATCTGGCTAACCAGCTCTTACAGATTGCTGAAAGACATCAATTCCTTCTCAGACTCTTCCTAAACCACCATGATGGGTTATGTTCTCATTTAACCTGGGCACATCTTTGTGGATTGTTACCACATTATTTTGAAATGATCTATTCCTGGCTTTTTCTTCCTCACAGAATGTAAATTCCTAAGGGCATGGAGACCTGTTTATTCATCACTGAATTCCCAGCACCAAGCACCTGGCTCAGGGGGACAACACTTTCTGCTGATTGAATTGAACTTAGCAGATAAAAAAATTGGGGGGTGGGGTGGGCAGGAGAGTGACCCTTTCATGACAGAACCAGATATAAGCAGAAGAAGGGGTTTGCAAAGATGAGGGGTGGGCAGTGGGTGATTTAGGGGAGTTTGTCTAGCCCCATGGGAACATAGCAGGTTCAAGTTGGCAGTATAGAGACAAAGTAGACAATGGAGCAGAAGAATCAGTGACAGCAGGAGCCCACGGAGCAGAGGGGCTAGACAGCTGCAGGCAGGACATAGATTGCAAACGCAATCCCCAGGGCACCAAGAGGAAGGCATAGGTACTTAGAAGGGTCCGCAACCAGTGGGCCTCAAAGGACAAACAGGTTAGAACTCCTGGAATTGTTTTGGGAATGAAAATGCTAAGAAATACAGAGCTTCCTGCCAGTCGGCCTCTGGAGGCTTGGCCCTATTGGATTTGGAGGTACTAAGTAAAAGGGATCACAGTTGTACTTGCTGGCTGTCCATCATCCTGTGTTGTTATAATTCCCTTAGCTCCTGTGTGGATGGGAGACAAGCTCTGGTAACAGAGGCTCCTGAGCTGATAAGCAGAACTGGGGCTTTGGTAAGGGGTAGGAGTGTGATGTGTGTGCATACGTGTGCAAGCATTGAGCATGTGGGTAGCGACTGGCTAGGTTTGGTCTCGCATTAATAGCAGCAGGAGCTGGAAACTAGTAACATCAGCTGTACAAATATCTGAGTCTCTTAAAATTGCAAACTTCTAAGTAGAGGTCCATCTGAAAATATTTTTCTCTGTATAGACTCACCTTCCATTTATTATAGCATATGTTTTAATAAAATTTCCCCATACATGATAGCACTGATGTTATGTCCTTGCCACTTCTCCTAAGCCATGTTCTTTTCTGCCTTGTTCATCAGATGTATAGTTGTGGGTGTTTGTATTTTAGATAAACCAACACAATCAGGAAAATAAATCCCATCTGTAGTCCTTCCACTGTCTTTTTGTTTAGGTCTATTGATTTATTTTGAGAGAGAGAGACAGAGAGACAGAGAGAGAACATGTGCGCACTCAAGTGGGGGATGGCCAGAGAGTCATGAACCATGAGATCATGACTTGAGCAGAAATCAAGAGTTAGACACCCAACTGAATGAGCCACCCAGGCGCCCCTCCACTGTCTAAGTTTATTAGTAAGTCTGGGTAAATAATGTGTGCTCTTGAGACAGACCTGGGTTGTATCCCAAGATACCTATGTTTTAGTAGTGGCATAGCCTTGAAAAAGTTACTTAGCTTCCCTCCCTGTACCTGCATTTCTTCACCTGTAGTATCCAGCCAGTAATAACAGCTACTTCTCAGAATCATTGTGAGGGTTGAAAGCAGTTAATGCCTGCTGAGCGCTCAGTCACTGGCTGGGGTAGAGTGATAGTCAACACCTATGCTGACCGTGGGCTGGGCACAGGGTTCTACGTGTTTCATGGTAATTCATTTCATCCTCAGAAACGACTCTGTAAGGTAGGTACTATTTTGATTCCAATTTTTATCGATGAGGGAGATACACAGTCACACAGCTGGGATGCAGCAGCCAGGACGCAACCCCAGGGTATCTAGCTCTGGAGTCCATGCTTTTGACCACTAGGCTACCCTGCCTCACAAATGTTTCATGTTCTACCAAGTGAGCTCTCTGGGCTTTTTTCAAAAATTATTGCTACTTTTGGGGCACCTGGGTGGCTCAGTCAGTTAAGCAATTTTCCAGCTGAATTTCTACTTGTTTGCTTTCTGAGTTTTCCTCCACTAAAATGTAAACCCAAGAAAGCTGGACAACTGCTATATAATAAAATAATGTCTGGTATGTAATAAAGGCCCAATATAAATCTATTAGCTAAATGTGTACTCTGTCTTTTCTTTTAGATTATAAATTCATTAAGAACTCAGTCTGACTTCTGTAACTTTTTAAAATGTTTATTTATTTATTTTGAGAAAGAGAGAAAGAAAGAGGGGGGTAGAGAGAGAGGGAGAAAGAGAACCCCAAGCAGGCTCTATGCTGTGAGCGTGGACCCAGACACAGGGCTCTATCCCAAGAACTGTGAGATCATGACCTGAGCCAAAACCAAGAGTTGGTCCCTTAACTGACTGAGCCTTAATTCCTGGAACTTACAAATATGCATGCAAATATACACTCTGCATGCAGCTGCAAAAAAAAAAAAAAAAAAAGAAAAAACAAATAAGGAAAAACAAAAAAATAAAAATTATTTTTATATTAAATTATTACTTTTAAAAATTTAAGTGGACAATGGATTTCATTAAGTCCTACTATACACACTTTTTTTTTTTTTTTTTGGCTTTCTCTTTCAGTCTTTCCCCTTGAAAGTAGGCCTAGAGGATTGGAAGGAGAAAAGTTGCATTACATTTCTTATGGTTGGCAGAATTCTAAGATGACCTTCAAGATCTCCACCCACTGCATACTCCGTAGGACTATGAATATGATGTATTTTACTCTTGCAATTAAGTTAAATGGCGCAGTTGATTTTAAGAATGGGTGAGCCTGACCTAATCAGGTGAGCCCTTAAAAGAGACTGGACTCTTCCTGAAATCAGTAACTGAAAGCGTGAGAAGGAGTCATTGTGAGGGAGATTCCCTTTTGCTACTTTTGAAAATTAAGGGAGCTATGTGGCAAGGAATGTGGGCAGCCTCTAGAAGCTGACAGTGGCCTCTGGCTAACATCCAGTAAGAGAACAAGGGCTTCAGTACTACAACCAGAAGCTACTGAATTCTGCCACAAACACATGACCTTGGAAGAGAACCTGAACTCCAGATCAGAATTCAAC